TGCATTCTGCCGCTAAGGGAATGGAGAAAAACGCGTTGAAAATGTCAATAGTGGCATACCACTTTGCTGTCTTGGACTCCAGCTCGTACTGGAGCTCCAACATATCTGGCACGGCAGCACTCAATGGTGGCGTGACTTCATTTAAGCCACGATAGTCCACAGTCAGTCTCCATTCTCCATCAGACTTACGTACAGGCCAGATGGGGCTGTTGAAGGGTGAATGGGTTCTGCTGACCACCCCTTGGCTCTCTAACTTTTGGATCATTTTGTGAATGGGGATCACAGCATCTCGGTTCGTCCGATACTGTCATCTGTGTACGGTTGTAGTAGCTATTGGCACTTCTTGATCTTTAACTCACAGTAGTCCCATTATGGAAGGGTCTTCTGAGAGGCCAGGAAGGGCTGACAATTGCTTGGACTCCTCTTCAATCACTGTGGCTATACCAAAAGCCCACGGTTACCCCTTCGGGTCCTTGAAGTACCCTCTTCTTAGGTAGTCCATACCAAGAATGCAAGGGGCTTCTGACCCCGTCACAATGGAATGCTTTTCCTATTGGTCTCCTGTCAAGTTTATGTCAGCTTCAACTACTGATAACTCTTGAGACCCTCCTGTCACTCCAGAAATATAAACGGTGTCTGTACTCTTATGCTTCGATGGCATTAAAGTACACTGGGCACCAGTATCTATCAAAGCCCGGTATCTCTAAGGATCCAATGTGCCAGGCCATCGAACCCACACAGCCCAGTAAACCCGATTATCTTCCTGATCCCTTTCCTTCTCCTGGCAGAAGGCAGGGTCCCTCTACTGGTCTTGATCAGAGCATTCATCGTTGGACTTTGACTTCTTAGAGGCCTTTTTGTCATCGTCGAAGTGGACCTCCATTTTCTTGTGTTTCGGCGATTGCAGTTTCTTTTCTAAAAATTCTGTATCTACCACGTAGACAACTTTCTTGTCAGTGTCCTTTTGTTTCAGCTCCCTCACTCTAGTTTTGAGCTTGGAAGTGGGTTCACCATCCCACTTCTTCATGTTTTCTCCCTTGCTACGTAGGTATGCCCATAGTTGGTTACGTGACCAACGCTTAGGGTTTTCTTTCCTTCGACATGTGAATGACAGAGATTGTGAGCGAGATCGAGACCAAGATCGACGTCTAGGTTGAGGTCATTTTTGTTGATCCTGCCATGATCGTTCCATTGGCCTTTCTCTGTAATCTCCATAACATCTGTCATCTCTGTCTCTAGGGTCGTCCTCATATCTGGAGTATTCATAATCTCTCTCCATTCTTTCCCTATTGTAGGTGGGTCGGTATAGGGGATGGGAGGAGTCTTCCAGATTTTCCGCTATGCTCCTTATCCAAGAACACATGGTGTCCACACTTGGTTCATCCATCTTTGGATGATATGCGGTTATCAAGCAGTAGGTATATGGTTTAGGGGCACCTTTAATTACCTTTTTCCAGGGAAACTGCGTGCAGGGAACACTCTCGGGAACTTGGATGTCATAATAGTCTGGATCAAAATAGATGATCTCCAGCATGGTCAATTCCCGTAGGTATTGGACGCCTTCTTCCGCAGCGTTCCACTTTCTTGGAGAGCTCATCAGATATTCCTTAAATGGGTATCTTTCCCTAACAGCATGGAGGATTCAGAGCCAAAGACTGGATGTCATTCTCTCCCTTCCCATTTCTTGTTCTATCACACGATCTCGGGCAATGGATCCCAATTGTTGTGCTTCATGACCTTCAGTCATGTGACTATTAGCCCCATTGTCCCAGCATCACACCAGTCAGGTGAGGATTCATTCACCAGGCAAGCGAATGTAATCTCTTTGTAAATCTCGAAGCTCTCTTGGGGTCAGTGATCGTGTAATTTCACTTTCTTGCATTATTTCCTGTCCATCTCTCCCGCTTAGAATCTTTTCCACTTCCCTTTTTACTCTTCCGCTCTTACGCGGAACCGCTCCCGCCTCCTCTCTGTATCTCTTGCATGGAGGTGGGGACTGAGCGTGCCGTGGGGATGGGCTTCTACGTCGTTCACGTCGTGGGGATGAGCTTCTACGTCGTTCACGTCGTGGGGATGAGCTTCTACGTCGTTCACGTCTTGGGGATGAGCTTCTACATCGTTCATGCTGCGGAGATGGACTTCTACATCATTCACCATACCTAGTGGGTGGAGGTAGTGAGTAGTCTTTCGGGTGCTGAGATAAGGGCCTCATCCAATCATCCATGCCTCCAAGAGAAAGTTGGGTTTGGAGGGGTAGGGATAATTCTCCCTCAGGTTGACGGAAATGCTTTGACCCCTTCCTTGCATCTTCCAAAACACTGAATGTGTCAAGTGACAATATACCACGGGTCGTTTGTACTGTCTTTTACTTTTTTTTCTCTTGATACCATTCTCTTTTGGACGCACCCCTAGTTATTTTGGGCCGGCCCCTTCTCTTGCAACCGCTTCTTCCTCTCTGGCAGCTGCTTCTTCCTCTATTGCGGCTGCTCCTTCTTCTCTTGCAGTCTCTCCTTCCTCTGTCACAGTCACTTCTTCCTCTCTCGCAGTCGCTCCTTCATCCATTGCTGCTGCTCCATTGTCCATTGCTGCCGCTCCTTCGTCCACTACTTCCTGCATGGACGGGATAGGTCCTTCTGCTCCTTCTTCTTCTTCTTCTCCTTCTTCTTCTTCTTCCTCCATGCGTTCCAGTTGCGGAGATGGGTCTGTAGGTTCTGCAGTCTCCCTCGTCCACGTCTTCTTTTTCTTTATAGGGGCAACAATGGCTTTCTGGTTTTTAGCTTGAGCCCCAGTTCTAGTGGACTTAGTAGAAATGGCATTGACTTTAAGCTGTGTTTTGGCCTCGCTTCCTGTAGACTCAACGGGAACATCACCAGTCTCGGGTGGCATAGTTTGAGCTCCTGTCCCAACCTTAACCTTTTGAAAGTGGTCTACGGCAGCTCGATAAGCACTAGCCAAGCCCCAGCACAAAGTGGAGAATCGCATATTCGGATCCTTGTAGGAAAAACACCCTTCTGTTAAACAGCGGGCCATCTCACCAGAATCAAACACTTGTTCTGGCGTGAACTCCCAATTAATGGGAGGTGACACACGTCCTACTAGTTTACCAAAATCTACCCAGGCTCCATGCCACCCAGGGACTGGCCTGTCCGCAGCCCTTTCCAAAGTTCCAGCAAGTCCCTTTGAGGTACGATCTTTCTTACAACAAGGGGACCAATGCAGCACCACCTTTCCAATTTTAAGTAGTATTTTCACTGCCTTCACTACTGATGCCTGCTCAGCTGGTGTTACGAAAAAAATTCAGGAGACGTAAGCTGGGGTGAGATAAGAAAGGGTTTAATTCTTGCCAAGGCAATAGAGATGTTACGACGCGCGCCGGGCTGTGCCCAAGATGTTACATTTATAGCAATATCTGGCCAATCCCAAGTGTGTCCATCCTCTAACTTTTGGCCTGGTCCACCCCCTGGCCCGCCTCTCGGAATTGGGTCTGGGGTGCTTTTTGGGACCTCCTCTTCATCATCTTCATCATCTTCAGGGTACAGAGAGCAGGGTGACCCAGTTCTTTGACTCTGTCCTGCGGTTTAGGCCAAGATACAAGCGTTCTCCAAACAAGACAGGCTTGCCTTGACTAAAAGACTAAACATTTTCTACTAGATATGGGAATAGGGTTGATATGGGGGTATGAAATGGGGTGAAAGGATTGAGGAATGTATAAACTAAGGGATACTACGGGGAGGAGGGAGAAAGGGGTTTATTTCTAAAATCTACTTCTATTACCTATAAAACTTGTAAGGCTTACAAAATTAGAAAAATAAAAACATTAGGGGTTTAAGGCATCAGTCCCCCCTTAGAGACTGGACAAAACCGAAAAGTTTTGTCCAATCTCTACCTACATCTACAACAGCTATAACATCTGTACATGCAGTGAGGTATTATACTAACACTAAGTATGTACAATACTAGAATAAACAGTTGTTTCATCCATGTCCAATCCGGTAACCATGAAGTGAGTTTGTGGAGGACATCTCCTATACCTAGGGAGACATCATCTAGAGATATTTCGTGTAAGATTTTGGTTTCATTTCGGATTGCGGCCAAATCATTATTAATTCTACCAGTCTGGTCTATATAAGAGCAGCAACTGGTGTTGATGACTTTACACTGGCCTCCCTGTGAGGCCAGTAAGAAATTGAGGACCATTCGATTTTGCACCACCACACGAGATAAGCTTTGGAATTGTTCTTTTAGGGCTTCAATTGCATCTAAGGTGTGATCTTGAATGTTTTCCATGACAGCTGAAATGTTTACAATTGCTTTCTCCAATTCACTCACTCCTAGAGATGGGACTAGAGCTCTAACTACGCTGTGGAAAATTGTAGGGCGCTCAATAAGGGGATTGTTAGTTCTTTTCACTCTTTTTGGATAGGTTTTATCCCATTTTTGTTCGTCAATTGGGTCGAGAATTGTTATATTTGGGATCACTGCCCCTAAGGCACAGGCCCGATCTTTATCAAGGGGCAGAACTTTCCAGGCCTCCTTTTCACAGATCCAGTACCATCCTGAACCCTGGGGAGGAGTTAATCTCAAAGGGAATTGTGCCATCCCTGCAACAATTTCTGGATTTATCTCTTCTTTTGAATTGTTTTTATCGCAGTGAGGGGGAGAGAATGATTTTTCCTGTAGCGTTTACAATCACGCAGGGAACAATATCCTGATTAGAAATCACGTTGCTTAGGGCCACCGGATAATAAGCCTCTGTAACGGGCTTCCAGGTTCCTGGGAAATTTATCATGGACTTACCAAAGCTTGTCCCATTTAGTAAAATGCCAATTAGGGGCCAATCACTATTCTCATCATCAATTGCTGGTACCTGAGTACAGATCCAGCATTCGGTTTTCCGAAGAATTTTTGACACATTTTGGACTAGGGCCACATGTAATTTTTGGTCCCAAACTCGGTTCATAGTTACCGATTGCACGAACAGAATACACAGCAAGAACAGCCTATTCCACATCTTCTTCGTCGGTGTCCGGTTCTGATTTGCTGGTTGTTCCAGGAGCTGATGCTCTCTTGACTCTGGAATAGTGGAACCAGGGTTCTCTGCCAGCGACCTTGACGGCGGTGAGGGAAGTCAGTAGGACTTCGTATGGTCCTCTCCACTTGGCTTGCAAGGGGTCACTGTTCCACCACTTGACGTAGACCCAGTCTCCTGGTTGGAAAGGATGAGCAGGGGTGTCCAGTCCTATGGGTCTGGATAACTCGATGACCCTCTGGAGCTTCTGCAAAGTAGAGCCTAAAGCAATCAAATATTTTTGTAAATCGGCTCTCCCTTTTATGTGTACATCCCCTGGTACGTGTGGTGCCTGATATGGTCTTCCATAGAGTATTTCATATGGACTTATGTTATCCCTCCGCCTTGGTTGAATACGAATCCTCAGCAGAGCTAGTGGCAAAGCTTGAACCCACGACATAGATGTTTCCTGACAAATTTTGCTAATTTGCATTTTCAGTGTACCATTCATTCGTTCAACTTTGCCACTAGCCTGAGGTCTATAGGGGGTATGTAGGTCCCAGACAATTCCTAGGATGCGGCATACTTCTTTTACTATTGTTGCAATAAAATGTGTTCCTCTATCTGATGACATTCCCAGAGGAACCCCAAACCTTGGAATTATGTGGTTAAGTAGAGCTTTTACCACCTCCCTTGCTGTGTTAGTGCGACAGGGGTATGCTTCAGGCCATCCACTGAAAGTGTCAACCAATACAAGTATGTATTTATATCCCCCCCATGGTGGTAACTCAGTAAAATCTATTTGCCAGTAATCTCTGGGTTGGTCTCCAGCCTTTGTTACCCCTAGTACCACTCTCTTTGTTGTGTCTGGGTTGTTTCGCTTGCAGATTTCACACTTACCTACTATGGACTGTACAGCTTCAGTCATACCTGTTCCTATTACTGTTTTCTTTAGATGTTTTAGAAGGTTTTCCACTCCCCAGTGGGTAGCCTCATGTTCCTGTTGAGCTATTTCCCTAAGGAGCGGTGGTGGAACTATAACCTGTCCTGTGGGTGTGACAGCCCACCCCCCTTCCTTGATTTCAGCTTTCAGTGATTTAATTAGCTGATTGTCTTTTTCATCATATCTAGGGGTGTATTTCGTTAAGTCAATTTCTTTTTGCGGTACTATCGCTAGGATGCCTTTTTCTGCAGCCCCTTTTGCTGCTCGATCAGCAAAATGATTTCCCAACTCGGGAGTTGTTTTCCCCTTTTGGTGGGCTCTACAGTGCATAATTGCTACCTCTTCCGGTTTCCAGATACTATGCAGGAGTGCATGGATTTGGTCTGCATGCTTGACTCCACTGCCTTGGGCTGTCAGTAGTCCTCTTTCTTTCCAGATGGCTCCATGGGCATGTACAACACTAAATGCATATTTTGACTCAGTCCAGATATTTACCTTCTTTCCTTCGCTCAGTTCCAAGGCTCTTGTCAGCGCGGTTAACTCTGCCTTTTGGGATGACACATCTGCTGGTAAGGCCTTTGCCTCGATCACTTCATCTCTGGTCGTCACTGCATACCCTGTGAAGCGCTTACCATCTCGCATGAAGCTGCTTCCGTCCGTATACAGTTCCCAGTCTGCATCCTCCAGAGGCATATCTTTCAGGTCTGGTCTGCTGGAGTAAGTCTCTTCTATGGTCTGTAAACAGTCATGCTCGGGGACACTGTCGGTTAGTGTTGAGGACAGAAGCATAGCTGGATTTACAATAGATGTTGTTTTCAAAGTAACATCGTCCTGCTCCAGCAACACAACCTGATACTTAAGCATTCTGCTGGGGGACAGCCAGTGGCCTCCCTTTTGTTCAAGCACGGCTTGAACTGCATGGGGTACATACACGGTGATGTGCTGCCCAAGGGTGAGCTTCCGGGCCACTTCAATCAGGATAACAGTTGCTGCCACAGCTCGCAGGCACCCCGGCCACCCTTGGCTAACACTGTCTATCTGTTTAGAGAAATAAGCCACAGCTCTTCTTTGGCTTCCCAGAGTCTGCGATAGCACTCCCAGAGCAACATTCAATTGCTCATGCGTGAACAGTTCAAAGGGTTTGGTTAGGTCTGGTAATCCTAGTGCTGGAGCTGACATCAAGGACTGTTTCAGTTGTTTAAATACATCTCTGGTTTCATCTGTCCATGTTATAACTCCCTCTTTGGCCGTTTTCAGGGCCTCATACAGAGGTTTAACTAGCAACCCCTAGTTAGCTATCCACAGCCGGCACCATCCTACCATTCCCAGGAAGGCCTGCATTTCTCGTACAGTGTGGGGCTCTGGGAGACGGCAGATGGCCTCTTTTCGGTCTGTGCTGAGTCGCCGATTCCCCACGATAGATTTCAAGCCCCAGGTAGATGACTATTTCTTTGGCTATTTGTGCCTTCTCTCTTGAGACCCGATACCCACTTAGCCCCAAAAAGTTCAAGAGACTTACAGTGACCTCGATGCACTGGTCCCGGGTCCTGGCTGCAATTAAGATGTCATCTACATACTGCAGGACAACTCCTTCTTGCTGCTGCCTTCTCCAGTCCTCCAGTTCTTTTGCCAACTGTCTCCTGAAGATTGTCGGGCTGTTCTTAAAGCCTTGGGGGAGAACTCTCCAGGTTAGTTGCGTTTTTCTCCCTGTCTCAGGATTTTCCCACTCAAAGGCAAAAATTTCTTGGCTGTCTTTATGCACAGGAATGCAGAAAAAGGCATCTTTAAGATCGAGTACTGTGAACCATCCTAAATCCTCTGTCAATGTGGTTGTGTATAGGGGTTAGCTACCACTGGGTAGATGTCCTCAGTTATTTTATTGATGGCCCTAAGATCTTGGACTAGCCGATAGCTTTTGCCATCAGCCTTTTTCACTGGTAGGATGGGGGTATTGAATCTGGATTCACACTCTACCAGTAAACCAAATTTAAGAAACTTTTCAATTATAGGCGCTAAGCCTTTTCGGCTTTCTAATTTCAAAGGATATTGTTTTTGCCTTACCGGGACTGCTCCTGGCCTGAGTGTGATGCTTACTGGTTCAGCTTGCTTTGACCTCCCAGGGTATTCGCTGGCCCAGACTAAAGGTATGACAGCATTTTCAACTTCTTCAGGGATCTCTCCATGATTTTCCTGTATAAAGAAAGCAGCTGCCTCGATATATTTAGTGTCTGGAATTATAACTTTTATGTCTCCCCCCTTGCTGAATTTAATTTCAGCTTCTAATTTTTCCAGTAAGTCTCTTACCAACAAAGGCCTAGGAGAATTTGGCATGTAAAGAAATTGATGAGTTACCCAGTGTTTACCCAATTTGAATTTCAAAGGTTTAAAAAATGGCCTTGTCTCACTTACCCCTGTAGCACCTACCACAGTTATGGCTTTATTACTGAGTTTCCCTTCTACAGTATTTAACACAGAGTATGCCGCACCTGTATCAACCAGAAATTCAATATCCTCCCCCCCAACTTAGCTTTAACCAGAGGTTCTGCTGGGGAAGAAACCTCCGGTTCCCTTCACACACCCTGACTCACAGTCAGCTGAGGGGTTGGTGGTGGTGGGGGGGGGAGAGGGCTTTCAATTCTCTTCAGGTCCGGGCAATCTTTTCTCTAATGTCCTTTCTTTTTACAATAAGAGCACCTGTCGTCTGTTATGTCCTTCTGACGATTGGACCTATGATACCTGGGGCTACGCCTGGGATGATAACCACCTTCTGGTTCCATCCCCCCTGTTCTCTTCTTCTGCTCTCTGTTACGATACACCGTCCAAGCTATCTCTAATAGATCACCAATATCCTTCTTATCACCACCTGCTTTTTGCAGTTTCCTTCTTATGTCATCTGTGGACTGTCCTATAAATAAATACACTAGATTTTTCTTTCCCAGATCTGACTCTATGTCCATGTCGGTATATTTCTTAATGACATCCTTTAACCAGTTTAAAAAGTCTGTGGGTGTCTCATCAGTATTTTGCTTAACCTCGTACATTTTGGACCAGTTTATCGCCTTCGGAACCCCGTGCCGAAATCCATAAATTACCCAGTCCTGATACCGTTTCAGTGCTTCCAAATTTGCTGGCACATTAGGATCCCAGTGGGGATCATCAGGGGGAAAAATGTCTTTTATGTCTTCCCCTGGAAACTGCCCAGAAGTTTTTAACATTTCAATTGCATTTCGAGCAGCTCTTTTTACCATCTCCTTCTCTGTCTGGTCTAGTAACGTGTCCATTATAGCTTCCAGATCATCCCAGTCAGGGTTCTGAGTTTTGACTGCTCTTTGCACATAGCTTGCCATCTTTTCAGGGTTATCTCTATACGTCCCTACACAATTCTTCCATTGCTGTAACTCGAGCAGCGAGAAAGGTACCTTTATTAATACTGTACCCTGATTGGTTACAGCTTGCCTTAAGGGTGCTTCCAGCGGTAGATTATCTTTTGCTCTTGTTCTACCTGCTATCGGGTCGGGGGCAGCTAACGCTTCACGGGCCCTCTTCCCCTTTGTTTTTGGCCTTACTACAGGTGGGTCTGCTTCTTCCTCCTCCAAGCTGTCACTTAATTCGCCATCTGCTTCTGCGTTCTTATCAAACGGAGGTAAACCTCGCTTCTGCCTTCTCTCAGCAGCCGAAACTAGTTTGCCCTGTCTCTGCGTCTCTGTTCTGTCTTCATGAGAGGCAGAGATTGTAAACTCCTTTGGTTCCTCTTTCTCTCCCCCTCCCGTAAAGGTGGGCTTCCCCCCCTCGGCAGGGGGAGGCGTGGGAAAGGGGGCAGCTCCAGCCCCACCTCCCAGGTCAGTAGGGACAGAGGCCCCGCCTGTCAGCACCGCCCCTGCCCCTCCCGGAATTCCAGGGGTTGTTGTTGTTCCCGCTATCGCTGCTGGGGCTCCTCCCCCCGCTGCCACCGCAGCCGGGGCTGGCCCCAGCCCTGTCACTCCCACAGTGCCTGCTCCTGTTCCCGTTGCTATGGCAGCAGATCCTGTATTAACCGTGCTCGGGGCAGCTCCCGCCGCCCCCGAGCCAACTCCCCCGGGGGCTCCAACTTGTCCAGCTCCCCCCGACGCAGCCATACCCGTGCCAGGGAGCCCCCCCACGACTCCCGCCGGTCCAGCTCCCGCAGCGCCTGCAGGAGCCGGTCCGGGAGCTCCTGCAGCTCCCACCCCTCCCGCTGCTCCCGCAGCGGGGAAGGGGAGCCCGATCTGCCCAGCCCCCGGGCTACCTACTCTCCTGTCAGGTGATATTAACATGTCCAAATCATTTTCCCCAGTGTTTTTAAATAAAATTTGTGGGACAGGAGCAGCCTTAACTCGATCTCTCTTCTTCCCTCTTCCTAAAACCATTTCCAGTTTTTCTGTCTCTCCTGAACTTTTGTTCCTCTTATCTCCTATGTCGATTTTACGGCATGTTATCAACTGCGAAAACAGCTCTGCATATGGGATTTGCCGCCACCTCTGTTCTGCGTGAAGAAGCTTAATTAACTGAAGCACCGTATCCAACTCAAACGAACCAAATTCCGGCCAAGCCAATCCTCTCAACTGCCCAAACATCGGCCAGATATCCATAGACAGTTTACACAGCTCCTCTTTCTCTAAAGTCGTCTGAGGAGTAGTTAAAGTTCTCCAGTGTTTCAAAACCAGACCTAAGGGGGATTCTTTAGGGATCTCAAACTTTGAATCCACACAACCCATGTTTGTAAAATGCAAATGAACCACGACCACACACACCAGGATTAGAACCTGTTACCTTGGGGTTACAAGCTGTTTCAGTAACCTCTCTGCTATTGTTCCAAGTCTCACCGACTTCCAGAGCCTACACTGGCTCCCCCACGGCGTCAGAGCACACAGAAGGCATCCCTTCTAACAAACAAACCAGCCCTAAGCTGAACCTCGCTCTGACCCGGGTAGGCGGACCACCCCGTCCACCGACTGGAAAGCGACTTTCGCGACTATGAGGGCCCAAGTCTTTAAGTTAACTTTCCAGTCACCCGTGTCCCCACCTCCTGGGAACACAAAACTTTCCCGCAGCTGCCAACTTCCCGCAGCTGCCAACTTCCCCCAGCTGCTAATTAAACCAGGTACCTTTTCCCTTATTTTGCCTTTTCTTATCTCACCTCTATGCTCCGGCTTGCTTCCGTGGGTTCTTTGGAGTTGGCCTTCTCAGACCGGGGCGGGAATTATCTCAGATAAAAACCGGCTTGATGAGAAATTCCTGCGTGATGAAAGTTTCCAGTCTGAAGAAGATCCAGTCCAGGTTTTCCCCGTGAGGGCCACCAAACTGATGCCTGCTCAGCTGGTGTTACGAAAAAAATTCAGGAGTCGTAAGCTGGGGTGAGATAAGAAAGGGTTTAATTCTTGCCAAGGCAATAGAGATGTTACGACGCGCGCCGGGCTGTGCCCAAGATGTTACATTTATAGCAATATCTGGCCAATCCCAAGTGTGTCCATCCTCTAACTTTTGGCCTGGTCCACCCCCTGGCCCGCCTCTCGGAATTGGGTCTGGGGTGCTTTTTGGGACCCCCCCTTCATCATCTTCATCATCTTCAGGGTACAGAGAGCAGGGTGACCCAGTTCTTTGACTCTGTCCTGCGGTTTAGGCCAAGATACAAGCGTTCTCCAAACAAGACAGGCTTGCCTTGACTAAAAGACTAAACATTTTCTACTAGATATGGGAATAGGGTTGATATGGGGGTATGAAATGGGGTGAAAGGATTAAGGAATGTATAAACTAAGGGATACTACGGGGAGGAGGGAGAAAGGGGTTTATTTCTAAAATCTACTTCTATTACCTATAAAACTTGTAAGGCTTACAAAATTAGAAAAATAAAAAACATTAGGGGTTTAAGGCATCACTACTGGTATCATTGTCGCTAAACAATTTAGGTATGGGTTAGAGCTGATCTTAGGAGTCTTTGCTACCAAACCTTGAATGTAACCATTAAGGAGACTGGCTACTAGGCCGTGAATGTCGAAATTAAGCAATGGAAGCAATTTCATCCATCTGATTGGTCCCCTACAGGATATCCTAGGACATGCGCAAAAACAGCTAGAATCCTGAAAAAAATTAGTAAAAAGGCCATTGTTATTGTTATCCTTTCTCCTCATTCCTAAAACAAACCTTTGTTTATATAAACAAAGCTTTCTTGGCTGCTCTCATGGTAATTGTTTTGTAAACAAAGACTGCGCTTGGCAGTTTTCCCAGACTCTGGCAGCATTCCCGGACTTTGTTCTCAAAACAATAGATTTGTTTACAAAACAAAACTGAGCTTGGCTGTCTTCCCGGAGAATGTTTTTCAAAACAATCCCAAATTAACCAAAATATCCCAGACGAGCCCCCAGTAAGAATGTGTGTATGAGTTTGGCCTGACTCTCCCACCAAGTCCAAGCTGTCTCCTCCCTCCTTCAGCTTTCCCAAGCGAGGGGAAAAAAACGAACCACAGGAAAAAAAAAACGAAAGAAGTATGAATGAAATGGAATTGTATCAAATACATATATATATATTACATATATTTACAATTATATATACAATTCGAAGATATTATACACAATAGGGAGCCAACCCACTACACGAACACGAACTATTTTATTGATTTCCTGTAGTTCTTGAACCAATCTATATGTCCCATCGCTTTTCCTTACTGGCAAGATGGGGGTATTGTATGGTGACATGCAAGGTTCTAATAACCTGTCATGTATTAAACTCTCTATCACCGGTGAAAGACCTCTTTTCCCTTCCAGGGGAATGGGGTATTGGCAAACACAAATTGGAATTTCTGTATACAATTCTACTGTAAAAGGTTCTATTTTCAATCTTCCCCTGTTCCCCTCTTCAGCTCATACTTCAGGATTTATACCCAAATCCTCACTTAGGATGAAAAGTTTAACTTCCACCCCCTCCCCTTGAGGTACCACCCCTACTCCCAAGATTCCCATTAGATCTCTACCTAATAGATTCACCCCCGCCTGGGGTGTAATCAGTAAATCTGCTTCAACCTCCTTCCCATTTCATTTTATTAATACTGATGGGGCTATAGGTACCTCAAAGTGTTCTCCTTTGGCTCCCTGTACTGTGACTGTTTGGTTTGATACGCTTATTGCCAATGGAGGTTGAGTTACACATGTCCTCTGAGCCCCTGAATCCACTAGAAAGATGGTATTGTCCTCCTGGGGTCCCAGTTTTGAATTTATCAAGGGCTCTTTTCCTGTTTCTGACCCCAGGAGGCAGAGTCCCTGACATACCTATTCTGAGCTCTCCTGTAACTGGAAGACTTGGATGTTGTTTTGGCGCCTAGGACAATCCCTTTTAAAATGTCCTTCCTGTCCACAGTAAAAACAAGCTCTTCCCTTTCTTTGTAAATTGGGTGGGGCAGTTTGCATCCCCAGTCTTGTTAGCGATCGGGAAGATCCTCCAGGGTATTGAGTTCCCTGACCTTTATATTTATTTGGACCATTTCCATATTTCCTGTGTGGTATCCATGCCCTTTTCTGCCCTGGGGCTCGTTTTCCCCCTTACTTATTCACTTCCTCAACCGTAGCTGTCATTAACTGAATCTTCTGCTTTTCCCACTCTTCGTCCCTCTGAACATACACTTTCTGAGCTTCCTTCAGTAGCTCATTCATGTCTTTCTCATTCCAGTCCTCCAACTTTTCTAATTTCTGTCTAATATCTGGCCATGAATGAGTCACAAAAAAGACTTTCAACAATTGCTGTCCTGCCGGACTGTCCAACTGGACCCCTGAATATTGTTGTATGTTCTTTAATCTTTCTAACCCTTCAGACGGTGACTCATCTTTGGTTTGCTTTTCATCAAAAGCCTTAGCAGTATTGTGCCAGGGGCAGCGGAGTCAGTGCCTGCGGGAGGGCCAACGGCTGAGGGGGAGTGCTCCCGCTTCTGCCGCAGCTGCTCCTCGGCCACGCTGCTCTCGCTCACAAGTGCCTCCAGCATCTCCAGGACTCACAGGATCCTGAACTGCAGTTGTACGCAGGCAGCGGGGTAATCGGGCCTGGGGCTGAGTTGCATCAGGTCCCGGCCCAGCACAGTCGAGATGTTGTAGACATTGTCGGCTGTCAGCTGAAATGGACTCTTATCCAGAGCCCTCTCTGGGCTACCATCTTTATCCTCCATTCCCGAGGATTTAGAAAAGCCAGAAAAAATCTGCAGTTAAAACTTCCTGCATGGGATTTAAACCTGTGGTACTCGGGATTACTAAATGGGCTCTACTTTCCGCACACTAAAAGCGACTTCAGGTCAGGGCAGGGTAGCGGTACGGTCTACTATCTACCGTCCCTGCCCTTCCTTTACTGAAGCCGTGCCGGGGGGGGTCCTCCACTCACTCCCCTTTAACTGTCCATGCTGATCAACTGACAAAGAAAAACTTTTCACTGAGGGACTCGAACCCACAGGTTCAGGATTACAAAACCAGTGTTCAAAGCACTGAACTATGAGCACTACAGAGCACTACAAGGGGGCGTTCCCCCTTTCCCTATCGGCCCCTCTGGCTGAAACACGAAACTCAAAACTCTAAACTTCACCGAGTTTACCCAGTCAGCCCTAGGCTGAGAAACGAAACTGCTCTGTTCAGAATTTAGGCAGTCCAACTGCCTCCAAACTTCCTGGGAAATACAAAAACTCTCGCAGCTGCTAACAAAAAGGTACCTTTTTCCCTTATTCTGCCTTTTCTTACCTCACCTTTGTGCTCCGTGCTTGGTTCTGTGGGTTCTGTGGAGCTGGCTTTCTCAGACCGGTGCAGGAATTGTTCCAAATGAATGCCGGCTTTCTGGATTTGTGCACAATGAAATGTCCGATCTGAAGAAGTCCAGGTCCAGTTTTCCCTGTTCGGGCCCACCAGCTGATGCCTATGGAGCTGAAGAAAAAAAACACTCCAAAGCAATTTAATTGGAGATGAGATAAGAAAAGAATGTAATTAAGTAACAAGATGCGCGCTCCTGCACCCCTCGTACAGATGTTACAATTTATAATACTGGTTGTCCAATCCCAGGTTTTGTCCACCCACTGGCTTTTGCCCCAGACCACCCTCAGTCACGCCCCTTGGGAATTGAGGATAGGGTCTCTAAGACCACTCCTTCATCAATCTTCATCTTCTTCGTGGTACAGGGGGCATATATTCACCCAGTTCTTGACTGCACTCTTGCGGTTTAGGCCAAGGTACAAGTGTTCTCTAAACAAAAGGGCCTACTCTTAAAGAGACACTAAACATTTTCTACTGGAATTCAGGGGATATTGATATGGGAGCATGGAATGGGGTGATGGGGTAGGGGAATGTGTAAACTACTGTGCTAAAGGGTGAGTGAATAAGGGTTGCTGCTTCTAAAATCTACTTCTACTATATAACTACTTATAAAGTTTATAAAAACTAGAAAAATAAAAAAAACAAAAGGATCTTAAGGCATCAAAACGATTAAAATAAGAACTCATGAAGGCTCCAGCATTAGGTTTGCCTGATGTAACGAAACCCTTTTGGCTGTTCTTGCATGAACGTCAAGGGATGGCTTTAGGGGTCCTGGCTCAGCAGCTGGGGCCATACAAGAGAGCAGTAGCCTACTTCTCCAAACAGCTGGATGAAGTAAGCAAAGGATGGTCCACCTGCCTGAGGGCAGTAGCTGCAGTGGTTGTGAATATAGAAGAAGCCAGAAAACTTACGATGGGGCAGAAAATGACTGTGTTAGTGTCCCACACTGTATCAACAGTACTGGAACAGAAGGGTAACCATTGGTTATCACCTTCCCGGTTCCTGAAATACCAGGCAGTCCTGGCTGAATCAGATAATGTGACCATTCAAGTGACCAACGTTGTCAATCCAGCTTCATTCCTAGAAGGAAGGATGTGAAGCCAGGTAAAACCTGGAATGCGAATTTAGTAGAGCAATACAAGAATTAGAGAGTTAAGTACAAAATGCAGGTTTTAAGCAAAAGCATAGAGAACTTAGTATTAAGAAACAGCGGAGATAATAAATTCACTAGAATACAGGACGCTCTGACATGAAAGAACATAAAGCATGGACAGAAAGAACTAAAAATGCTAGCATACACAAAAAAGGACATACAGAAGAGAAACAAAGGGAGATAAGAAAAGAGACGAACCAAGGAATCAGGTACTCTTGCCAGACACTGGAAATCCCTGCCAAATGCACAAGGAAATTACCCAAATTAGGGAAGGTTCAAAAGTGTATGAAGATGATGATGAAAGGACACTGAGTTCATGGAGATGAAGGACCGGAACGACCCCTGAAATTCTCCCCAAATTGGAGACCACGCCTCTAACTCCGCCTCAACTCCGCCTGTTATGAATATTAAAAGTAGATGTTGCAATATAATGAATATTCATAATGTGTGATGCAATTGCTTCGCAAAAGGTGTATAAAAGGCTCAGTTGTAAGTTACTCGGGTGGAGCAGTTTGTCCAGGGCGACCTGGGCTGCTCCCCGACCGTAAATAAATACCTCCTGCTTATAGACTGAAAATTCTGTCTCTGAGCAGTTTCTCTGCGCCTTCTTTGGGGCACAAATTGGCATCAGATGTCAGTCAAACTGCTTGAGCACGACTGCCTAGAGACCATTGAAGCAGTATACTCCAGCCGCCCGGACCTTAAAGAAGAACCACTTCAAGATGCAGATGATTGGTTTTCGGATCGCAGCAGCTTCATGAAACAAGGTGTAAGAATGGCTGGTTATGCAGTTACTACAACAGAAGAGGTGATTGAATCAAATCCTCTACCTGCAGGAGTGTCATCCCAGAAAGCGGAATTGATAGCTCTCACCCAAGCTCTTGAACTGGCAAAAGGAAGACGAACAAACATCTGGACAAGATTCCAAGTATGCCTTCTCTGTTGTACACACCCATGGAGTGATCTGGAAAGAAGGAGGACTATTGACTGCCCAAGGAAAAGCTGTAAAACATGCAGAAGAAATCCTTCAATTGCTAGAGGCCTTCCGGCTTCCAGCACAGGTGGCTATAATGCATTGTAAAGGACACCTGAAGGGATGACACGGTTCCAGAAATGGGTAACAGGAAAGCTGATGCAGAAGCTAAATTGGCTGCCTCAAGAAGCAGAGAATTAGCAGTAGCAGCTTTAGTACCAGATAAATTAGACACAGATTTTCAACCAGAATACCAAGAGACAGACTACAAGTGGATACACAAAAATGGAGGTAAGCTATTGGATAATGGGTGGGGCCAATTGAAAACAGGACAGTTAGTGTTACCAGGAAAAATTATATGGCAGTTTGTAAAAGTGGAACATGACAAAACTCATTGGGGCCTAGATCTGCTTTATCAACATTTAAAGGCTAGAGTAGCAGGACCAAAACTATTCACTGCAATAAAACAGGTTACATCTCGATGTGAGCGTTGCCTGAAAAATAACCCAAATACTGGGACTAAAGTACAACAAGGGGTAATAAACAAAGGAAAATTCCCAGGTGAGGTTTGGCAAATCGATTTCTCTGAATTACCAAGGAAAGGGGGGTACATATACCTCCTAGTTTTGACAGATACATTTTCTGGTTGGCCTGAAGCTTTCCCATGCAGAACAAATAAAGAAAGGGAAGTGATCAAGGTACTGTTGAACGAGATAATACCATGATTTGGGGTGCCTAGGAGCATTTCCTCAGACAGAGGATCACATTTTTGTGCAAAGGTTATATGAGCAGTAAGCAAAGCATTACAAATCAAATGGCAGTTGCATACGCCCTACAGACCTCAGGCAAGCAGGCAAGTAGAAAAAAATGAACCATCTCATTAAACAACAAATTGCTAAAATATGCCAAGAAGCAAACTTTCAGTGGTATCAAGCTTTACCTATTGCTCTGATTAGATTAAGGGTCAAACCAAGATCAAAAGGAAAACTGAGTCCATTTGAGATTTTGTATGGTCGACCCTATGCGATGCAGATTGTAAATAGTGAAGCAGTAGATCAAATAGGTAATCAATGTGTGTATGATTATGTTATAGTCGTAGGAAAACAATTTGATAAAAATACTGCAGTGGTGCTAGAACACCAACCAAAACAGCCTGATTGTAAACTACATCCATTCAGTCCTGGTGATTGGGTATATGTTAAGAATCTTCTAGGTAAACCTCTACAAGAAAAGTGGGAAGGACCTTTCCAGGTGTTGCTGACCACCTTCACAGCTGTTTGAGTAAAAGAACGACCAACCTGGATCCACTACTCCCGAGTCAAAAGAGCTCCAGAAGGTGATGAAGAAAGCTCTTGAGGAAACCCGAGTTATGGACCTAAAACCAACGCTGATTCTTGGACTTTTGATAAGTATAACCTTATCTCAAGCCCCTACTTCAGAATGGCCATGGTCCAATGCACAGATTGTAGAATCATTCCTCTGGGTGGGAATACATCCCTCAGTTGATCCAGAACCTAGACCAAGCTTAGCTATTTATGTGCTACATAATAACAAGCCATACACACAACAGGACTGGAATAAGACCCAGGGCACATTAGATACCATAATAGGAAAATTGGAAGATGAAATACAACTAGGGTGCAAAGGTGTCAATACGTTAGCACAAAAGACAAAACAGGTTAAGCTGACAGTAACACCCATGAAGAATCAGTCACTCACATTTAGTCAAATCAGAGATACAGGCAAGAATGTTTGGCTTAAAAAAGAAGGTCCAATTTCTTGCCTATGGAATAACACTAAAGAAGATAAACCATGCCAGGAAACAAAGAGATATACCGGGATGGGCTGGCACAGGATTAGGTGTATTAAATACTATAGATCAAGAAGTATTAATTAACAAACTCAGCGCTGTTACTTCTGATCTAGGAAAACTCAAAGTCCCTTTAAAATCATCTATGCTCACATTGACAGAAACTCGATCTTTAGCCGTCAGGTTACTAACCTTAAATAGCGAATTACACAGTCGAAGACTTTACTAAAATTACTGACTACATTGGAGGTATCAGCAA